TTAAAACACTATAAGTAGCTCGTTAAAGACCATAACCCCCCCCCCCCCATTCCCCCCCCCCAACGTTTGAAATCGTTTCAAACTAAATTATCTGCCCCTAATAGCCGTCACTAAACCCGACTCCACGAAGGTAAACATAGCGTGAACCACAGCTCACTTAGACCATGTAGGGGTGGGGATGGTAGGGAGCGCGTTTACAGCTTGTTTTCTAGTGTCTCCCAGAAGAGAATTATATATACGAGCCGACCCGCTGCGTATCATACGCCGCTATTTAGTTGTTTTTTTTTCTACTTTTCAGTAATTTATAATTTGTGAATTCGACAGTACCAATACTGCCATTGAAAATATTTGCTTAAAAACACTACCCCCCCCCCCACGTGAAAGCAGCCTCCTCTTAGTTACCTCCTCTAAGTTTAAAATCGTTTCAAACTAAATTATCTGCCCCTAATTGCCGTCATCAAACCCGTCTCTATGATTGTAAAATGTAAACAGAGTGAACACCGCTCACCAGATCATTTGGGGGTGGGGTGGGGGTGGTAGTGATAGTGATAGAGAGGTAGAGAGGGGACTGCAAAGGCGCGCTTGCAGCTTGTTTTCTAACTGATCCCAGAATAGAATTATATACGAGCCGACCCGCAGCGTATCATACGCCGCTATTTAGTTGTTCTTTTTTCTACTTTTCAGTAATTCATAATTTGTGAATTCGACAGTACCAACGTTGACACTGAAAATATTTCTTTAAAACACTATAAGTAGCTCGTTAAAGACCATAACCCCCCCCCCCCCCATTCCCCCCCCCCCCCCCCAACGTTTGAAATCGTTTCAAACTAAATTATCTGCCCCTAATAGCCGTCACTAAACCCGACTCCACGAAGGTAAACATAGCGTGAACCACAGCTCACTTAGACCATGTAGGGGTGGGGATGGTAGGGAGCGCGTTTACAGCTTGTTTTCTAGTGTCTCCCAGAAGAGAATTATATATACGAGCCGACCCGCTGCGTATCATACGCCGCTATTTAGTTGTTTTTTTTTCTACTTTTCAGTAATTTATAATTTGTGAATTCGACAGTACCAATACTGCCATTGAAAATATTTGCTTAAAAACACTACCCCCCCCCCCCCCCCACGTGAAAGCAGCCTCCTCTTAGTTACCTCCTCTAAGTTTAAAATCGTTTCAAACTAAATTATCTGCCCCTAATTGCCGTCATCAAACCCGTCTCTATGATTGTAAAATGTAAACAGAGTGAACACCGCTCACCAGATCATTTGGGGGTGGGGTGGGGGTGGTAGTGATAGTGATAGAGAGGAAGAGAGGGGACTGCAAAGGCGCGCTTGCAGCTTGTTTTCTAACTGATCCCAGAATAGAATTATATACGAGCCGACCCGCAGCGTATCATACGCCGCTATTTAGTTGTTTTATTTTCTACTTTTCAGTAATTCATAATTTGTGAATTCGACAGTACCAATGCTGCCACTGAAAATATTTGCTTTAAAACACTAACCCCTTTCCCCTAACCCCGACCCTACACCCCCCGTGAAAGCAGCCTCCTCTTCGTTATTTCTTAGTTACCCCCTGTAAGTTTAAAATCGAACTAAATTATCTGCCCCTAATAGAAACCCGGCTGTACGGCTCTACGATTTGTAAGCATTTAGCTTTGTAAAAATTTAGAGTGAACACCGCTCACCAGACAATGTTGGGGTGGGGTGGGGGGTGGTAGTGATAGTGATAGAGAGAAAGAGAGGGGACTGCAAGGAGGCGCTTGCAGCTTGTTTTCTAACGGCTCCCAGAAGAGAATTATATATACGAGCCGACCCGCTGCGTATCATACGCCGCTATTTAGTTGTTTCTAATTTTCAGTAATTCATAATTTGTGAATTCGACAGTACCAACGCTGACACTGAAAATATTTCTTTAAAACACTATAAGTAGCTCGTTAAGGACCATACCCCCCCCCCCATTCCTTCCATCCCCCCCTACGTTTAAAATCGTTGGCTCTGCTTGTAAACATTTAGAGTGAACACAGCTCACTAAAACCATGTAGGGGTGGGGAGGTATGGAGCGCGTTTACAGCTTGTTTTCTAGGCGCGTTTGCAGCTTGTTTTCTAGCGGCTCCCAGAAGAGAATTATATATATAGATATAGATAGATAGATTCTTGAAGGGTGGTGGTGTTGATGTAACTGTTATATACCGTAGTTTGAGTTGGGGCATGGCGGATGATGTATTTATTATATAACTTAGTCTAGGACAGAGAAAGAAAGAAAAAGGGTGGCGGGGTGGCGCAGCTGCTGTATAAACCAGTGTGTAGAACGTGACGTATTGTTAGAATATCTGGTCAGGTTTATTTTTAAATTGTATTGTAAAGGTCACTTCCATGTAAGCATTCTAGACACAATCGGGCGACTTATAGATAAATAAGGAAACATTTTTAAATTTACTTGTTTTTTTTTGTGAGAAAATAAAAGCAAGCTGGTATATATTTTCGATATAAATTCTATTTCATTCGTGGGAGACATTCTTCGGTGGGGCGGGGGAGGAGAGGGAGAGAGATGCCTGAAAGAAACTCTGCTCACTATTGAAAACGTTTCTTATTCCCTCCTACTGAGAGTTTCTTCCAGGCATTTCTTCGGTGAGCGACCCCCCCCCCCCCACGCTCCGTGCCTCCGAACGTCTACCGCCCCCTTTCCTCCGAACGAAAATATAATTTATATAGAAAATATATACTTTTACCAGTGTCAGCCCCCCCCCCCGAAGAAAAAAAAGTCTGAAAGAAACACTGCTCCTACCCTCTCCTCCGAACCGTGCCGTAGCCGCGCTAATTTATTTCAGTGTAGCATTTTCATCCCCCCCCCCTTTCCACCCGAACTCCATTTCTCTGCAGAAGCTAATATTTAGCTTTACACTACACTCCCCCCCCCCCCCCACGAGCTTGGTTTGAAGAGATATCTTGTTATCAGTGTAATACTCCCTCCTCCATCAATCTCCTAGCGCCCTCGACAGCAAACATTTGATCGCATGCTATCCGTATCATACACACACACACACACACACACGCCCCTCTTCCACCATTCAAGTCCCGTTTCAGACCAGAGGTTGCAGATGAAGTAGTTCGAGTAGACCTCGGCACATGAAGGGATAAGGTGGTCAACCCTATGGCAGCCGGCTTGGCTTTCCCCGACTGGTCAGGTCCCTATTAGAGATGGCTGAGTTCTGGGACGTCCAGTGAACACGGAACCGTGAACTAAACCTATGCATTTCGCACTCTACCCCCCCCCCCCCCTCCCCTTTAATCCCCGACCATGTGCTTATCTACCTATGTACCACACTATATTCACTGCAAATGTATAAATTTAACGCATTGTTCCAAACACATTCGCCTCTTCCCCCTTTGCCCATATCTGGTTACCCGTATCGCACTTCATTGGAGTTTCTTTCAGGCATCAACTCGAGGGATACCCCCTTCCCCCCCCCCCCCCCCCCCCATTGAGTATGCCCATCGCCCCTCCCCCAAGACGAAATTTTTTTAAAAAATTACGTTTTAAATAGATAATAGGCTCGATCCCTTCCAACACCAAAAATAAAAATTAAGAACGAAGAAGAAGAAATAGAAAAAAAAAAGATTTACATAGAAAAATATACAACATCAACCAGTGTCCACCCCCTCCCACACTACATCGAAATGCTCCCTCGGAGTAAAAAAAAAGTCTGAAAAAACCGTTGCACTTCATCACCCTGCTCCCTCTAGCATCTGAATTCATGTAATCTTGTTCCAAATGTCAGACTCCAGCAGCCATTCAGAATCGGCTTCCACAGGCTTACGCCCAACAATCAAAAGCTTTACCGCGAAAATGTCGGATTTGTCAACCCCAATAGATGCGCTCAGCCATCGCGTTGTTGTAAGGTAGACAAATCACCGCACTAGTTAACGCGGATTTACTTCCCGTGTTTATCCGTATCACTGCGCGTGGTAGCATTTCTGTTCACGACCAACTCAGATTAGCTGTGTGCTAAATTAATCAATGTAAATGGCTATTGATTGATCGTTTCATTGCACGTAAGGTGGGGTTTCCAAACTAAAAAAAATAATTAAATGTTGTAGCTGTGGGCTAAACACACGATAGGATTTAAATGTTAGGTTTAGAGTTTAGAGGATTTGGTGTTGGTTTTTATATGAGGTTATATTTTCAAGATTGGTTGGTGGGATTAATATCAAGCAAAATGGGGTGTACTGATAACCCAAAAGAATTAATTATTTTTTTTTACAAAGTTTGGTTCACACGGAAGTTATTAATGTTTAAACATTTTCCTAGTAAAATGTTTTTTTAAAAAAATAATAACGATTAGTATGTGCTTATTGTAAGTGTTCAACTTCAAAACAAATATACACATACATTACATAGCCTATCTCTGTATATCCAATCTATCTATGTGTATATTATAATACATACATTGAGAAAACAAAGACAGTTTTAGCATACAACACATCATAGTTTATTACTTATTAGAAATACAAGTTTTTATCATAACTAATAGAAAATTGTACATGACAGAGTGCAGAAATATGGACTCATTAAAACATTAATATTCTTCCACTCTATCAGACATGTTTTTCAATACTTATTTTACATGTTTTTCAATTTGAATCTCTGCAAATTAATCAATTAATAGATTATACTTAATAGGAAAAGCTATTCCAATCCAAAAATTAAATTTTGCTTTTCTATTCCAATCCGAGTAATCTCTATTGATTTTTCTAATAATAGAAGAATGCTGAATTGTGAGATATCTGATCATAACAAGAAAGTATGGAGAGTAGCATACAGAAATATATTTACAGCTACACTTTAACATTCTAAAGCAATGGCTTTTGCAGCACTCTGATTGGTCAGTTTATTCAGTAAAGAAGAATCCAACATAACCCGCCCAAATGGTTTCAACTGTCAGGGGAGGTAATAAATTAAATGCTAAAAGACTAAAAATAGTCTACTGGTCAAACAACAATTGTTTTTTTGCAGAAATTTATTTTAATTTTTCCATTTTTTAATAAAAATTAACAAATATTAATTTAAGTTATAAGTATATTCGTTGTTTAATTTTATTAATTTAACAACATAAAATTTTTTTTTCTCTAAAACTTCCAACAGGTTTAAAAAAAACTAGAATTTTGAATGTAGAGTTTGGTGTTGCTCAAGGCAAATACAAATTTTATATTGCTTTCTAGAATCATATTTTTAGAGAATAAAAAATGACAGCCTAGATAGAATATTACAGTATGTAATTAAAAATAATCAACCCCCATTGCCTCACACCCATGCGATATGCCACAACGGACTACAAACATTTGCTTTCTTGTACTTTTTTCTTTCTCTTACAACAAAAATATGATTTTAAAAAATAGCGTTTAACTAATTTTTTTTAGTCTAGCGCAAAACGTTAGCAGCTATTTCAGTGATGAAACCCTGACAAGAATACAAAGAATGTGGATAATTTATTATGCTAACTCACATTAGCTAAAATAAAAAGAGGAAAAAAAAATAACACAGTGAGGAGACTAGATCTACTTGTTAAACAAATGCTAATCTACCATTCAAAAACAAAACAAGACTACATCAATGTTTGGTGGTTGCTAAGTAACAGTTACTTTTTCTTTCCTTCACAACTAACAACAGATTTTCGTCATGTGTGGTTTGTATCAGAAACAAAATATCTATGCACTTACTGGAATTGTAAACCCTAAATTTTTAAAAAATAAATAATTCTAACAATACTTATACGTTATAGACACAAACTTCAATACATCACAATACAATACTAAAGCAGACTTTTAAAAATACAACTGAATTAAACAGGAAAACAAAACAAATTTTAAAATAGCTATTGTATAATGCATATAGTTTGAATGTATAGATAATTAGATAATGTTAAATAAATATATCAAAGTTACAGAATATATGTGTCATCAAGCTATGACATAGTAAATTAGGTCTAAAATAACTGAACTCTCATTAAAAAAAATTTTTTACCACAAAAAATTTCAATACAAAAATGATTACAAAATAAAAAACAAACTCATATTTAAGTATACTTTTCATAAAATCAGATATTTCTGTTAAAGTTAGTTGGATATTCCCCAGGTATAATGAACCAAGATATTGTTGGCATTAAGTAATTGGGACAGTTGGCTAATGAACAAATATAAACAGTAAATAATTTACATATAGATTACAGTTTAATTATGTTTTTATGTTCAACATATTAACATAAAGAGACTATGATGTAACATTTTATTTTTATAGTTTCAACAAAATGTTGAAACTGTAAGTTTTTACTTTGCTTTTTAAATTATAATAAATTCCATGTCATTTACATCTAAATTTTTAATGAAACAACTCATTTCTCACACTCAAACTGAAAAACAAATGACATAAAAGCAATGAAGGCACCAAAATCAGTTGAAACCTGGCCAAGCTTCAACTGATGGATTGCCAGCTAGCACCATTAGAATCTAGGCCAAACCTTACTCCAGTGTGTTGATAAATAAAGAGATATAACACATGTTACAAAATGCATGCTATAGTTTTAAATATTTTAAAAAATTTTCCAGCTAAGACATATTTAAACTAATTTTTAAAATGTTCATTTCTAAACTTTTTCTTATAAATCTTTCAATCTATTACTAATAGCAAATTTTATCTTTTGTTCTTTCACCTAAAAACTATATCTGTTTCTTCACTACAACATAAAAAATATACATCTTATATGACAGAAAAAAAAAATCATAAATCCGAACTGAAAAGCTCTCCAGTAGGTTGAAAGTCTTTAATATCAATATTACCATGACTAAACTGTTCTGTAACCATAAGCATGGTTTGGCTTGTACACGTGATTAATTAAAGAGTTCAAAGTAAGCAAAACAGTAGGGTATCTACAGCAATAGTAAAACCTGAAAATTTTATTATTATTATTCTACCCTTGTCTTCTATCCTGGTCACAGCTATTATGTGTACCAAGGTCGCTTGCGGGCCCATCGGATGGTGTATCCAGAGTCCACGCGGATCTTGATGGACGCGGCCTCCGCTGTGCGGACGGTTTCCTTCACAGCCTGCATCAAGTTCTGTGCATTACCCACCAGCATTTCTGTGGCCTCTTGGTCTTCCTCAGAACCTACAACCATTAAAAACACTTTTAAAAAATGGTCCATCTTCTAGATACAGATGGTTCTTAAACATAGTAAATCATCTCTGATGAAAGGTTTTTAAACTGCTAATAAATTTCATATGGAATCACTGTATTAATTATTTGATTATCTTAAAAGGAATATTTTATATTTAAAATGGGTCATAAAACAATAACTTTTACAATTCAAAACTTAATATTAATGATAAATAAGAACATTAAAATTTTGTGAAAAGTGATGAATGAGGGGAAAAATTGGTGAAAAAAAAGACAACCTAAGTCTATGACATTCAAAACCTACTATAACTCACTACACGAGGATAAGTTTGTTTATAAGTATGTTTCTGTAGCAGGCCTACCATAATTGTGTAAGTGTTCTTATCTTTATGCACACAATTTCAGTATGTTTGTATATTTATTTCAATATTTAGGTATACAAGTTAGACAGGTTATCAAATTGTGTTTTGTATATTTATTTTAATATTTAGGTACATATGTTAGACAGATAATCAAATTGTGTTTTGTATATTTATTTCAATATTTAGGTATACAAGTTAGACAGGTTATCAAACTGTATTCAAATATATCAGAGAGATCTTATCCAGTTAATTGTTAGTTTGTTTGTGAGAGTTTGAATGTTCAAGATTTAATGGTGGATCCAGTTAATTGTTAGTGTGTGTTTGTGAGAGTTTGCGTGTTCCAGATGTAATCGTGTCACTATTCTATTATCTATGGAGTTTCTAAATACAAAAATGTTGATAACTTCTCTACACAATTGTTTAAAGGTTTTTCTATTGAGTAACAACAGGGCCTTCAGGTATAATCAAATCAAATTTTAAAAACAGAAAATGTGAGAGTTGGGGGGGGAGGGGTATAAAATAATATATTGCAGTGGTAGCATATAATCATTAAAAGATTTTTACTCAAATTTGTGTGCCGTAACAAATGGTCTTTAGAAAAAAAATATAAGAATCTTTCAATAATAAAGTTAAAAATTGGGTGAATTGAGACATTATTTCAAAATTGATATTAATCAAGGGAGCAAAATGTTTTTCTTTGAAGAAGGCAGTCATCATAGAATTTTTTTTTAATTTTATAAAAACATAGAGTTACCTACTTCAATTTTATAAGTTAACCCTAATTTCTTGGGTTATTATGGTAGCATGCATCTAAAACTCTTAAAGTATAAAGGAAATACATCTAAAATTAAAGTGATTAGAATTGCACTTTTAAAATTCCTGTTGAAATATGCATGATCATGTTTAAAGTATGTTATGTATTATTTCAACATGTTGAAACTTCAATTTGAACAAATCTTGTCAATTAATGGTAAGAAAAGAAATTTTATATTTTTGTAAAAATGTTAAACAATATTAAAGTTAAATTGAAATGATAGCTAAACATTTCTCATGAGAACTCATGAATTCAGCTCATTCAGGGTAAACTGCTATAAGAAAACAAAAACAAAATGTGTAAGGGGAAGTAAATCTTTTCTTTACTGGAGTTGCAGTACTTACTTGATTCTGTGGCCAGCAGATGCATTAGAGATAATTAGAAATAAGTAAACAATAAATATATTTTAATACACTAAAACACAATTGTATTAAAAACTTGGCAGCTAAAGTGGAGTTTGAAATGTGTATTTTACTGCAAAGAGAAAGGGTGGATAAACTTGCAAGCAAGAAGTGGTTACATAGTACACAACAATTACTTTTTTTCACTGAAACTAACTCATACCAATTGCATGAGAATTTAAACAGCATAATCCATGCTTGTATTGGACTATTCCTTTCATGCAATTAAGTTTAGTTGCAAGCTAGTTGAACACATTAGGGCCAGTATTCACACACAAACACACACAAGCACACACACACACCATCACATACACTTCAGCTAACACAAACTGCAAAACTAGACCACTACACTATACAAGCCAAGAACATGTCTTAGTTATCTAGACCACATTGACATGCTCTAGCAGGAGATGTTTAAAACAATGTGAGACAGCAATATTTTTATTACAGTTCTAGAAAATTCTTAAATTAGAAATACCTTTCAAATATTAAATTAAAAAATTAATTTTGTATCTGTTAAAGCACAATTTACTTTATATGAATTGAAACAAAAAGTGGGATAGAAAGATATTCTTTTAGCAGAAAACGGAAAATAGTTTGGAGTAGTTTGGATTCATCTTTTGGAAGGAAAAAAAATGTATAGCTTCCTGCTTAAAATATTAAAATTGACATATTTTCAAAGAAATGATAGTGAAGGCTTAATCATGTGGCGATGACCAAAGTAGAATTGAATATGTACAGTCGTAAGATAAAAATAAATTTTGATTGGAGGTGCAAAAAGTTCTTGCGCTTAGAAAGTCCGCTGCAAAGAGTAAAGCAAAGTGTGATCTGACTTAATGCTATCAGGATGATAGGTGATGTTTAAAAAAGTTCGATGCAGAGAACTCGATATTTAGAAATTCCTTAGCTAAATTCCTTAACAAGTACAGCTTACTGAGATGTAATGGTTTTAGAATGACAGATGGTGTTAATTAGGTTTGACATAGACCCAGTCAATGCATAAACTACTGACGAGCTATTTTGTCTCAGTGATGTTAATGAGCGGATGATGCATACATTATAGACAGACTATTTGTCAGTTGTGACATGCGATTTGTCAAGTAAAAGTTTATAAGTTTACCACACGCTATCTCACTGCCATCCGGTGCTGGGATGGGTTCTGTCACATGATGAGGAAGTCATGATTATATTTAGAAATGGTGTACATTTTGTACGTGTATGAAAGTGTATGAGCCATAAGACTACTTAGGTATATCATAAATGTTTCCCAAGTAAAATGAAAGATTGTGGAATGTAAAAAAAATACAAAATAGAAATTGTTTTCATTCTACTTTTTTAAATTTTATTTTTGTTTAAAAAAACTATTTTAAAAAATTTCTAAATGTGATCTCGAATGTTAAAGACCTACTTAAATACAGTCCTGAATTAAAAAACAAGATGTAAAAAAAATTATTTTTTTGTAAAAACTAGTATTATTTTTATGAATCAGGGAACCTAGAACTAAAAAAAAATTAATGAGCCCTTCATGCAAGTAAAAATGAGATTTGAAAAAAGTCTCTGTAGTCAAATGAACTAAGGTTTGGTAAGGCAAGAAACAAAGAAAGCTGCAATATATCTACACAAAACTTGAACCAAACAAAATGCATAGAAAGAAAACCAAAATCAGCACAAAGAACAAAAAACGCTTCTAGATATTTCAGAGATAAACAGCTGCGGCCATATTTTTTCAGGCAATAATTTTACCACAAGGGATTTCACTCCCGTCTGGCCCACATATTGGCTCTGATAAGGAAAGATAATCCAAACTCAGGGTAAAAAAAAAAACAAATAAAAGAAGCAAAACCAAAGATGAAAGAAAATATAAATCAAGGAATAGTAGAAATCAAAATTTATTACGAATGTTGTTTTTTTTGTATTTTAAAAAAATGAGAACTTAACTGAATTTTCAGAATAAATAATTTAAATAAAACAAAAATAATGTTTTAGCATAAATAGGCAAGCTAAATTTTTTTAGGCAAAACATTTTTCAATTAGATTATTTTGATTCATAGAAGGATGATAAAAAATAATTTAAATCAATTAAGTTAGAATGACAATATTTAAAAATTTGAAGCAGCTGGCACTTCAGAGTTTTTAAAGAACCTTCAGCCACATTAACAGTACATGTTAATATGTATTTCAGATGTTCTCAAGAAAGCATATTAAAACCTTTGGGATCTAATAAAACTCAAAAAAATAAAAAAATGAAATTATGTGCAACTGTTTTTTGGAGTCAATTTATATGAATGGAATATAATGGTCAACATTGGTGGCTACAATGTTATAATTTATCATAAACCCTCACAAGTGTATGTACATGACTGGCATTAGCTGGATGGAAATCTTAAATGTCAACGACCTCCTGTGCACTCCTCAGAAAACAAAGAACCTCTTGTTAAAATTTGGTGTTCATTTAACTGAGATTCTTTAAAAAATGAATATTCTATGATAAATTAAAATCCTCTGTTAACTAAAAATAAATGTTTTAAACTGAATTACATTTTTTTAACAAGTTTGCACTGTAATTATTATAGCCTACATCTTCTATAAATACTACATTTGCAAATACTATTTTTTTCAACTTTAAGAGCCTCTAAGTTGCATTTTTATGTTCGTGGAACATTAGAATATATATATATATATATATATATATATATATAAAATATACATATGTATTTTTTTCTTTTTTATTAGATACCCCTAAATATAGTAACACAAACTTGAAAATCAAAATTTTGAAACTGATCCAGTTATGATCATGACAACAAAATAAAACAAAGTTACCTTGTGCTCCTAACATGGTGGCTTTGACGGTGGACAAAATCTTCAGCTGTGTACCAATGGTTGGAATACGCTCACACACATTCAAAAGATTCTGTGAATTGGATTTTAAAATGCTGTTTATACATGTCATAAACAGTTGGTTTTAACACAAATGGCATGGGCTTTATTCAGGTCTCATTATGGCTAAACTGATAGCAGTAATAAAAAAATATAGTGAAAACTTCGATCAGGTTTTTAAGGAACAAAAGAAAGTAACTAAACTGAACAAATCATATATACTGCATACTGTAAGAATATTTAAGGTGTGATGAGGAGATTCCTTAACTTTAAACAAAACAGCTATAATTCAAACAATTGTATTATATATCAAAGAATAAAAAAAGTAATAGATTTAACCATTTTATTAAATTTAACTATCTTCAAATGGGAAGAGCTCACCATCCTCATCTTCTTGTCAGTACACTCAGCAGCCAATTTCTTGGCCAGTCGGGTCACTTCTTCAGAGGCCTCAGCAATACCTTTAGCTGTGGCTATCAGGTCTTTCTTAGTTCCCCCTTCACCTCTAGAGGAAGATAAAAAGGACCATAGTTTTCATAACAAGTTTGGACCCATGTAGACAAAAACTCATGCTATTACTTATCAGATTAGGCATTTTTTATTTTATTTTAAATTATATTATTTTATTTTAAAATTTTATTTTATTTTAGATCAGCATTTTTATTTTATTTTCGATTACCATGTTTATTTTATTTTAGTAAGGTATTTTTTCTATTTCAGCATTTAAAAACAAATTCTATTATTTTGTATATTGTCTTTGATTAACATCCCAATTATGGATTCAGAACATTATTTTTGGACATATACATATTTTTTACCTGACTAGCTGACTGAGTTTTGCCATCAATAAAGCCATTTTCTTGGCTGCAGCAATAATCTCATTATCTTTACTGGACCATTGTTTAGTTTCCATGTGTAAGGCATGTGCTGCCATCTAGAGATTTAAAAAAATGTAGTTTTAGACTAACAGAAAAAATATTTAATTGATTTAATTAAACATTCACTTTACTTAAAAGAGACATTGGATATACTTTTTAATTTAAATATCAATTAATTTGAGTTTTCCAAAAAATTAATATTTTTAAAAACTAATACTAATAATTGTATTTTTTAATATATTAAAAGAATTTGATATTTTTTACTAAATTATTTTTAAATACTACATGTAACATATTTTAGAAGTGTTTCTAAATAATTGAGGAAAATGAAGTGTAAATTTTTTTTTTACCATGATTGGTTGATTAGCTTGGGGTATGGGGAAAGCTGCTTCATCCTCGTCATCTGTCTCTGGTGGTGGGGGGCGGGGAGGTGCATGATCATGAGGTGGTGGTGGGCGTGGTGGGGCACCTTCTCCTGTTGAATTGAGGTGAAAAATATAGTCAAACTTTATAAGTAATTATTTCAAAATAATTTTAAAACAACACCTGGTATGCTATTCCTAGAGGATTTCCTTTTGCTGAAACTGTCTCATAAGAATATAAGAATCAGTCAATGGCGTATTCAACCTTTCAAAGCTAACACTACAAATGCTAAAAATATTTCTATAAAACTTTACATGGGAATTACACTAACAAACCAATGTAGCAAATGATAGTTTCATACAGTTAAATCTATTTCTCATACTATGAAGATCTAATTATTTTTAAAAGGAGCTAAATATAGAAGCTACATTTATAAAGGGAAGGTTAACCTTTCATTTTGAGTTACATCGCCTAAGATTCAACAAAACACTAAATCTATTTACACATGTTTATAAAGTTATTTTAAAGAATATTATCCCCATTATTATACAAACAACACATGCATAATCTACAATCTAATGTATTCTTGAATTCCACAATAGCTTTTCATGCAAAAAATTATGCAGATCATTTACTTATGATTTTTTATAATCCACCATAGTATTAACCCCAGCTTATTTATATGACTTCATTTTCAACTAAATCTATAATCATGAAAACAAAGAAAAGACTTTTTTCATCAAATTATAAACAGAAAATTAACAGGAATTATTAAGATATACAGTTTAAAAAGAGAATAAAAGAATTTTGAAATGGTATATGGAAGACATTGCATGGCTGACCAGAAGCAAATATAATTAAAGATTCTTTTAATTAATTTTAATGACTGGAAACTAATTACATAAAAAATGTAAACATCATCAGTTTTATTGCATCTTTTTCTAAAGACCCTTCTCCATAAAGCTATTGCATAATAAATATGCACATCTGTACCCAGTAAAGCAATTATCCATCTCTCAATTCTAAATCTTTTTAAACGCACCTCATATGCAAAGCAAGGTAAAGTGACTAAAAAATTTTTGAAAATGAAAGTACAGGTAAATAACTGGAAATTATATTAAAAAGAGTTTAAAACAACAAAATTTAGATTATGTTTAGATCTTGCACAGCTTTTATTAGTTGACTGTCCAGAGGGAAAATTTATTACAATAAATAACAACCATGCTCAATTTTAAACTGCTGTAATACCAAGTCAAAGAAATTACTTAACCATCATCAGTAAAAACAAAATTTTTATTTGAAATGTTAACATTCCATTTTTTTTTTAAATTTGATTTTTTTTTAAATTGCGCTATTTAAATTTTTTATCTTTAAGACCATAAATATTATGAAAACCATTTTTATGTACCTGAAGTCACACAGAAATGAGGGCTATAGATTAGAAAGGTTTCTTGGGATTTCATGAGACAAAAAGATTAATTAAGATGTTTCAAAGTTGGACAACAAGTATATATTCAAATGTGAAGTGCTTATTGTTTCAAAAAAATAAGTTAAATAATTTAAGATTTTTTTTGGGCTAAAATAAGTTGCTTAATTTTTTAAGAATATTTTACTTTCAACAGCAATTTTTAAAGATTTTCAAATAATTTAATGGTTATTTTCGTCTGTTGAGAAATTTTGTTGTTTTAAAAGTAAAGTAGATTCTAGCTAGAAAGTACTTGAAACACCTTTACTACTAACCCCTTAATTTATTAATTAATATTATCTAATAGCATTTTAATTATTAATCTACATTTAGTAATAACATTTATACTTCATATCAATACTAATACTTTTGGTTTGCGCAGATGCTTATTATTTTCAATATTTCAGAAGGGAATTGATTTCTTTTTTCATGCAAGCTTTCAGCATGCCACTCAAAGAAACAATCAAAATTAAAATGAGAAAATGTTCACTCCTTGTTTAACTAAGTTGCAGCATAAGATCATCAAATAAAATAAAAATTACAACATGTAAAACAGTGAATATTATTCACAAAATTAGCCATCTGCAGATTAAAAGTTAAATTTTATTTAGGTTCTAGACGACATCAAGGGAAGTAATGCAATGGATAAAAAGGGAGGTAATCATGGATAATGGAGTTTTTTTTAATTAACCAGTAGAGAAGGAGCAATGCAATTAGTCGCATTCTTAGAGCAAGGCAATAAAAAAAAAAACTGCTTGAGCGGCAGTGGCAAGCAGGGAGAAGAGCAACTCCCGCTGACCATAATAGTATCCGTAGGGATCCATTGGAGGTGGGGGCACAGGTGGTGGCATAGAGCGTGGTGGCGGGGGAGCCGCGGGTGGCGCCGCAGCCCTTTGCTGGCTGAACCTTTCTTCTGGTCGTAAAGAGGCTGGTGAATAATGTGTCCATTAGTGGCTTGAATATAGTTATACATTGATATGCTGTCACAACAAAAAAGGTTCTCAAAATCTATGCTACAGCCCCTTATCAAACTTACCATACAAAATAATTATTTAATTTTTTTACAACACTTTTGAAAATTAAACCAAGTCGTTACAGAAAAACTTGAACACTTTAAAGCATCTGGGATATGACAGATGTTTTGAGAACCTCTAAAGTATATTTATCATTCAAGAAGCATATGATAAATGTGAAGCAAAAATCATACACAAACTAACACATGAGCTTTTTTGTGCAACACTGAACAGAAGCCATTTTATATGTGCTACATTACAATACACAACTAGTAATTCATTGAAAGAAAGAATAAACTGCTAATTGAATTTTATACAGGCACTGATTTTAAAAAGCTAAATTTATTTTATTTAATAATGTTTAAGAAAAAAAATAGAAATTAAATGACATTTATTTTTTATTTATTTTATAGGATTAAATTAATATTTAAAATAATAAGTTAAAATAAATTAAAATGTATAACTTTATAGAGAAGATTTCTTCATGCAAAAATATTTTGTAACATATTTTTTTTTAGAGTAAGCTGATGTTGAAATGCCAAGTTGCGGGGAAAGATCAGCAGCATCATGTGACGCTTTATACCTTCATTAAGAGAGTTTGTGTGTCGATCACCTCCATAGTGGTCTGGTACTGGTAGCAGTAAGGAGCAGGTGGAATTAGTTGGTGGAGAACACAGCAGACCAAACAGCCAAAAGATGAAAGAGATTTTTCAAAAACAACAACCCATTATAAGTGGAACAAAACTCCATCAAAAGTGGTGAGACAACAATTCAATTAAAAAAAACGTGGTGTGAAACACTGAAACATTTAGCAACACTTATAAGAATACATTAAATACAAGTACAATATTTTCACATTGATTTTTAAAAAAAGAAACATGAATGAAAGTTTGATTTTGCTTTTAAGTTTAAAATGTAAGAAATCATTATTATTCAATTTTAAATATATTTTTGTATAACACCAAAGAAAATTTTAAAAATGTTAGCAGGGATAAGGGTGTTTGAACAAAAAAACAAATGAGCCTTTAAATATTAAATAAATAGTTGGTCTCATTGGTTGGTAACCAAGACAAACAGAAAACAAAAAACAATCAATAAACAAATGGATTGTGCCACAGTTAATGTTAATAATAATTCAACATGAAAAAGAGCAGTTGATTGTCAGTTCAGTCATTTTGAAAATCATCATTTTATATACAGGTTATTTTGTACACAGGTCACATTGTATAGAGATATTTTTGGCCTGTACAGATATTTTATATGGTCAATTTTGTGAAGATCAGCAGATTTTAGCCAACTAATTTTGCAATTATTTTGTATCAATCGCCTATGGAATAACTTAGCCATTTTTGACAATTTATAGAAATTTTGGGGTTCGTAAGTGAAAGTGAAATGACAAAAGTTTCAAGTGTTTTTTAGATCTGGGTGAAATCATATACTTCACTAGAGGAAAATGTGATGGCTAAATCAAATATTTTGAATCAGTTCACTGATGAGTACCTGGCATATGTGTTGAGAACAAAAAGTCAGCTGGGCGTTGTGCAGAGCCCACAGTCCCTCTAATCTAACTCTATGAAAATGCTATGGTAATTTATTTTTTTACTGCGGTCTACAGTGTTAAACATGTTGAGAAAACTTTAGAGAGTTTGTGTAAATAAATAAACCTGTCTGTGTCTGGTCTTTAAACTTACTAAGAAAAGAAGATTAAGGGAATTGAAGAGTTATTTAATACAAACAAGCAAAAAAAAATAATTTTGTGAGTGTGAGAAGGTATAAGAAATATTACTAAGACAACTGAAAAAAAGTTAAAAAACCATAAAAGGTTATTTTATATTAACTAAATTTTTTACAACAAGCAGAAATCATTGGTATGTTAAACATAGAAGAAATTTTTAAAAACTGTTAAAAATGAAGTATCAAAATACATTTCATAACAAAACAATGTAGAAATTTATAAACATTTTTTTTTATATAGTTTATTGTAAAAGGGATGCAGTCACAGCAAAACACTAGTATGCCACTACCTCTAGCTATTATAGAACGGCCCACATCACCATCCACCTCCAGGGAGCAGGGGTGGTTGGGAGGTACCATTGCTGAATATGGGGGTGGTGGGTGATATACACTACTGCGTTCCTGTACAGGATATTGATAGGATTGGGGCGGGGACTGGAGGGGAGTGGTCCTGTCTGAAAATGCCTGCGGTGCTATAATGAGGACATAACAACAATATGTAAAATATTGCACCAAACGTAAAAATCACAGAAGCAAAAACATCAATAATTAATAAGAAACATGATAAATAAATGATGCATAGTTTAATACTAAATAAGTACATGTTAAATCTATTTAAAAGTTATTAATAACAACCATATGAGATCACAGTTATTAATTGTACAAATCTACAACGGAGTCTTTACAACTTTATTTATGCTACATAAATCTTCAAGTAAGGTAACTTAGTTTGCAATGGTATGTAGCAACAAATTACTAGCACCTATGGCTGAATGAACTATTTATTTCAAATGGAATTTTTACTCTTTGTAAATCACTTTTTTTCTGCTTTTTTTTTTTTGTTTAGTTTTCTCAAATTTTTTATAACTTTAAAATATAATAAGTGCAAGGACGTAGTTGGACCCTCATTTTCTACTTATTTAAGGTATCACACAAGGACTATGTAAAAAAAAATCACAATTTAGCACAAGGAATTTCAAAATTTTATCCACTTTTTTTTTCTCTTTTCTAAAGACTTGTTTATTTACTATTGTAAAAGTAGAGTGAGATAACTCTCAGTAGTTCTACTTAATTAGATAATTTCACATGAACATCGATAAAGAAATAAAAGATGTCTATGTTATGAGTTGTTTGCTGTAGTAGGCTCCATTGTTTTTAAACTGTAAAACTTGAAAAAATTATATTCTTTACAATTAGTATGAAGAGCTGAATAGGTTCAGGTAAATGAGTGTGCTATGACCTCATATGATTAGTAACCTTATGAGTATGCTATGACCTCATAGGGTTAGTAACCTTATGGGTATGCTATGACCTCATAGGGTTAGTAACCTTATGGGTATGCTATGACCTCATATGATTAGTAGCCTTATGGGTATGCTATGACCTCATAGGATTAATAGCCTTATGGGTATGCTATGACCTCATAGGATTAATAGCCTTATGGGTATGCTATGACCTCATATGATTAGTAACTTAAGCTGCAGAGAGGGAGTTAGAAATTCTTTGTCCAACTCTGTAGCTATAGATGTATCTTATCAGCTATACTATGTGCTTGTTGTTAGGTTGTCATAAACCATGTCTATAAATAAACTGCAGCACACAACAGCCACATGACAAGTTGCTACTATGAAGTTATAAATGATAAACAATATATACTTTACAAATCTTAATGTTAATGTCAAGACATTGTGATGAGTCTAAGTTTTATGACAATTAATAAGTGCTAAACAGAGGTGTTGCCCCAATTAAAATAAACTCTTCAAGTTTAGAAAATAAATAATTTTAAAAAGCTGTTAAATACTGCATAAAATGTCATATTATAAATTATTAAAATAATAAATACTTTTAAATAAATTTATTATATAGGTTTTAAAAAGTTGTAATAATATTATAACAAGATTAAAAACATTTCCATGCTTTCAAAAATTAAAAACCCACAACTAGAATATGAAACAATTAAAGTAAAAAACCAACAACACAATGTAATAGCTGTTAAAAAGCTGATCACTTTACCTGATATATGGAGCTGGGACAGGTCAGGTGGGGGAGGGTATCTATCATCATAGTAGCTGGCCTTAGGCTGGACGGTCACTGCATTCCTCACTGACCCTACGGCTTCAATTAGCTGTGGACCAAACATGTTGTAATGGTTAAATAATAGGTTTCTACTTATGGAAAAAATATGTATTGGTTAAATAATAGGATTCTTATTGTAGAACAATCACGTTGTAATGGTTAAATAATAGGTTTCTAATTATGGAACAAATATGTTGTAATTGTTAAATAATAGGGTTCTAATTGTAGACCAAACATGTTGTAGTGGTTAAATAATAGGGTTCTAATTATAAATCAAACATGTTGTAGTGGTTAAATAATAGGGTTCTAATTATAAAGCAAACATGTTGTAATAGTTAAATAATAGGGTTCTAATTAAGGCATGAGTAGAATGATGGAATCACTGTTAGGAGTCAAGGCTTAGGGCCAATACGCCTTAAGGAAAAAAACAAGGAAGGCCAAGGGAGATGTGGAGACGCACAGCAGAAAAGCAACTGACAAGAACCAGACTATCTTGGAGAACTCAAGACAGTAGCCAGAGACTGGCTTAAGTGGAAAGTGCTTTCTGTGGTGGCCCCATGTGTCCTGGGCACATATGGGTAAAGATGATGTGATGAGCATCAAGGGTTCAGGGATAGTGTTGGTACAAGTAAGGTTACAAATAGAATGACCAAAGTTTATATCTGTTGGTATCAATGTAAGGGTCAGAGTGAGCATTAGGGCTAGGGTCAGTACAAGCAGGGCTCCAAAGTGAATGACCAAAGTTTATATATGTTGGTATCAATGTAAGGGTCAGTGTGAGGATTAGGGCTAGGGTCATTACAAGCAGGGCTCCAAAGTGAATGACCAAAGTTTATATATGTTGGTATCAATGTAAGGATCAGGGTAGGGATTAGGGCTGAGATTAGTGCAATAAAACACAGTCAATTTTTCAGTACTCCTCTATGCGTAACAAACACCACACTATGTAATACTTGGTATAAATCCCACACCTTTTCAGTACAGCTCTATGTGTAACAAACATCACATCATGTAATACATGTGTATAAATCCCACACCACTTCTGTGTATTTCCCATTAAGCTGTACTTACAGCCCTGTTGTTGATCCTCCAATCCTGTTCTGCTGTCTTGTTAGCAGGGTTCATGGCCAGAGCCTTGGCTGTCTGCACATTTGGTGTGATAGCTACAAGAAATAGTGAGGGAAAATTGTTCATACGCAAGATTTTCTTTTTATATTTATTTAAAATATTACACTTTGATTGATACAAGGAATAGCGAGGGAAAATTGTTCAAACACAAGATTTTCTTTTCATATTCATTAAATAACATATAAGACCAGTAATAGAATCTACTTAAAAGTAATTTACAATATTATATTTTTAAACTTATTTATATCATGCTCATTGAGTGAATAACTCTTTTTCTTTTTTTCTCTTGGTTTTTTTTTTTTTTTTTTTTTTTTTAAGAAAAACATGATTTATTTATTTGCATTGTATTTTTGTTTTAACAAATGAATAAAAATACAAAGAGATTGACTTTGTTTTAATTTTGATAATTTACTTTTGTCAAAACTTGAGAAAAATCCAAATTTAGATTATTGAATGATATGAATGTGCTATGTTCGTGTGTCAGAATTTTCATGGCAATGGGTGAAGTACAAACGTAACTCACAATTGCAAGACTGTTAAGTTTGTATTTTTACAAGTATCTCCCAGGCATGATACTATAAATAAACATTTATGAACTTACAATAACCCCAAGACTGAGGCCAACACAATTAATAACTGTTTGTTGTTGTTTTTTTTTTTTTTTTTTTTTTTTTTTTTTTTTTGAAATTTTGAAAGTTTATTTTCCAACTATACAAAATTATATACACGAGTCTGAAATCTAATCTGAAATCTAATGCTCATCAGGATTATTCCAATTAACTCTGTACTGTATTGACTTAATCACATTATTGTAGGCTTAATATAGAACTCTTAATCTGAAATTAATAGATAGAGGGCGGCAGAGAAAAAAAAAAGGTAAATTGAAATGAAAGACAGATATAATGTTAGTATTAAATTTTCTTCTGTATAATATCCATAAATATTGCAAGTTTCTTTATAATTATAATAATCAACCATCTATAGAAAAGAGGTGAAAGGCTAGTAAAGACTTTTAAATCAGTACACATGTAGCTGTCAGTCTTGTACTCTATGGTGAGGAAAAGTACCAAAACAATGTACACACAATTTTCCGTCCAAACAGAAATTCAATTGATACTGCTGCCATCTTTGTTATACTTTTGGCCAGGTTTATATTCATACTCTTCATAAACAGGAAATGAGGACATAATTAATAACTCTTTGTTGAAATAACTTAAGAAACATATTGGAAAGACATGAACAGTGATTGTAGTCAGTTCACAATTAAGTAAGATTTACTGCTGTTTTCTAATCTTGTGTGAAGCAACTCACATTGCTATTTTAATTATAATGCAATTTTTAATAAGAAACTAGAGTTCCTTAATTATTTTAAACAAATTTATAATATAAAATTATTTACATTTTTATCAAGCTAGGTTTTTAAATTTGATTAGATTACAAATTAGAAATTAGTTGTTACATTACATTAAAATCTCAAAGACATGGTTATCTCCCCCACTTGATGCTAAAATCTCTGAGGCTTGGTTACCTCCCCCACTTACTTGATACTAAAATCTCAAAGACTTGGTTACCTCCCCCACCTACTTGATGCTAGAATCTCTGAGGCCTGGTTGACCCTATCAACAAAAGCTACCCACCCCCCACTTACTTGAGGCTAGAATCTCCAAGGCCTGGTTGACCCTATCAACAAAAGCTACCCCCCCCCTCCCCCACTTACTTGATGCTAGAATCTCTGAGGCCTGGTTGACCCTATCAACAAAAGCTACCCCCCCCCCCCCCACTTACTTGAGGCTAGAATCTCCAAGGCCTGGTTGACCCTATCAACAAAAGCTACCCCCCCCCCCCCACTTACTTGATGCTAGAATCTCTGAGGCCTGGTTGACCCTATCAACAAAAGCTACCCCCCCTCCACTTACTTGATGCTAGAATCTCTGAGGCCTGGTTGACCCTATCAACAAAGCTACCCCCCCCCCCCCCAATTACTTGATGCTAGAATCTCTGAGGCCTGGTTGACCCTATCAACAAAGCTACCCCCCCCCCCTCCCCCAACTACTTGATGCTAGAATCTCCGAGGCCTGGTTGACCCTATCAACAAAAGCTACCCCCCCCCCCCACTTACTTGATGCTAGAATCTCCGAGGCCTGGTTGACCCTATCAACAAAAGTTACCCCCCCCCCCCCACTTACTTGATGCTAGAATCTCCGAGGCCTGGTTGACCCTATCAACAAAAGCAGGATCTTCACTGTTCTGGGCCTCCATGTCAGCCACCTGCAGCACGCGGTCAGCACGTCTGGCAATGTTGGAGGCGTGGGTGGCGATCTTTGGTGAGTCCCTTGTCCTGATGCCCTCCTCTATCCTCTCTGTGTCACGAAGGATCCCTTCCTCTGTGAAGATACACAATTTTAAGCACATGATATATTAGAGACAAAAGTCTGAGACTAAATGGTCCATCCTCTGTGAAAAAAGTAAAATTTTAAGCACTGGAAAATAAAATAGGTGATTGAATGTCCAATGAAGCTAAAATGTGTCTATTGCTAAGTAAATAAATAAGCACTTAAAGACTAAATAGTCCACTCAGCAAAAAAAAAAAAAAAAAAAAAAAATCATAAATAAATTATAATTTCATCTATTTCAAAGAAAATTTAAAAAAAAACCTATGAAAATAAATGTCTCATGAAGCTGGAGAAAAAAAAAACAATCTAATCTGTTTGTAGGTCTGTGACTAATGGAAGGAATACGCCACCAACACAGAGCCCAGTTGCTATTTTCCTTAACCGAGTCAGGAACCCACCCAAATAGACTCACAGACAGCATAACAATAACTTAAATAATGTACAAGGCAGTTCAAGTTTGTGCAAGGTAATAATTCAAAATCTGTCAAATTAGCTTTAGGTGAGTAGAATTTATAAACACTATTTTATAGTTGCTGAAAAATAATTAACTTATACTATTTTATGTATTATGATCCCTTATATTATAAGTTTAGTTTATCCTGTTTATGTATAAAGTTGTGTGCATTATGCCCATCTGATGTTGGTATTTGAAAAATATAACTTCTTTTCATCAAACATAAAAGAAACTAAAACAACTAATTAAAAAACACACTGGAGTAAAAATTAGCAAACAAACCTTCAGCACGAATGAGTGCAGCAGAGTCAACAGCCTCGTCAACAAGGCCTCGCAGCCTGTCCATGTTGTCTGACCACTGCTTCTTCAACAGGTCAAAGTGTTCCACGGCTGCTTGGTTGTTGGGGTTGGAGAACAGAACGCGGGCCGCGTTGATGACTTGTGGGGTCAAGTCTTTGATCTGTTAAGTTCAAGCAATGAGAGGTTGTCAAAAAAAAAAAAAATTGGCAAGTGGTCTTATAATTAGTTAAAATCAATCAAGGTACCTAGTATTAAAAAAAATTTAATAAGAAAAAAATTGAAATAAATAATTATTGTGTATGCTACTCATTTACAAGATGATTTTTCTTGGTTTTTTGGTTTTTGGAAATATTTTCAAATAAAATAAGGGGTTATAGCGGCTGACTTAAATGGATAGTGACAGATCCTGGATAATAAAATAGAAGACACTGTTTTATCTGCTGACCACAAACAGTGACCTGAACTGTGTGCTTTTTTTTCACTTCTTAACTGGAAGGGGAATGTGTTGTCTAGTTTATTGGGATTCAGAATGAGACTGTACATGTTTATTTTGTATATCTGTGGTGTGTGTAATGGTTTTTATCAAACATTTTAAAAAATAGACATCCTATTCATGGTAAACATCACATGGCTTATTCCATAAGATTACCTGGTTAGAGTTTTTGAAAATGGCCTCCACTGTTTGTTTATTCCTGCAGCCTCCTGCAGTAGCCACAGAGTTGGCTGTGTCTGCCAGTCTGTTGGCGTGGTCCAGGAACTGACGCACTTTACCTTCAAAGTTGTCCTCACGCCCAGGGGTTCCTTATAACAAGTATTTTCATATTAATTTAACCATCTAGGTCTAATTCAATTATTTCATATTAATTTTACTATCTAGGCCTAATGCAATTATTTCATATTAATTTTACTATCTAGGTCTAATTCAATTATTTCATATTAATTTAACCATCTAGGCCCAATTCAATTATTTCATATTAATTTAACTATCTAGGCCTGATGCAATTATTTCATATTAATTTAACTATCTAGGCCTAATGCAATTATTTCATATCTTATTAACTATCTAGACCAAATTCAATTATAATCAACCACTTTCAATACCATATAAAATTAAAATAATAGGTGTTACATTGTATTGGTAAATGTAAAGTAAAATACTTTATATGACAGATACTTTTTATGACCAATGGTTCATGTGGAGTTGATCTGTTCCTTTAACTTTGGCACAAAAAAAAGATTGTATGTCAACACTAAGCATAGCCTTTTTTTAGTTTTCTCACATTAGGGTCAGGTACCCATCAGAGCTAAGCAGGTTCAAAAACTAAATTTAAGACTTTAGGTAAGCAATCAAGTGCACTAGCAGTTTTAAACTCCCATTAATTAACACTAAATTAACCTTGATTTATCCTCTATTGTTTTAACTGTTAAGAAGAAAAAAAACAATCATACCTAGAGGAACAGCAGCCGCCTCACTGAGTTGCTTTAATGGTGTGGTTGTATCAATGAAATCCTCTGCAACCTGAACAAGTTATACAATTATTTATTTTTGTTTTATAAACTGTACAATTTTTAAACGGTCTTGAAAAATTAAACCAGTTGTGAATTTATTTAAGTTTTATACTTTAAATCTATTATTACATTAGTTTTTCTATTATAAAAAATTAACCTCAGCAACCCAACTTTACATATGCTGAGGAACAGAAACAGGTGAACTCTATTTCACCTGCCCCATAGACCAGTGGCGTAGCGAGGTCGGGTGTAAACTGGTGCGGCACTTAATGGTGTCACCCCCCTGAGACATAGCAACCCTTCCCAGGGAAAAACTTTCATACTTTTGATTTGCACCCCCCCCCTCAAACTTTCGATTTGCACCCTCCCCCGTCAAGTTTTTCTCTATATATGTTGCTATTCTTTTGCCTTGGTGTCACCCCCCTAAATGGTGTTACCTGGTGCGGTCCGCGCCCCTTGCCCCCACCCCCCCTCGCTACGCCTCTGCCATAGACCATCAGGTTTGGAAGGGGAACTTTACTTTTACCCAACTTAGCAAATTGTAACCATTTCTCTAAAACAGTTTTCATTCAGGAATGATAAAAGAATGAATAATTCACTTATCTGTACCTACATGAAAAACACAACTCACCTGGCTAACCAGAGCATCCTGGATTTTGACTTTGAGTGAGGCCAACTTCTCAGATAAGTTGCGAGCTATAGCTCGAGCTTGTGGACCATTACCCTAGTTAGACATTACAGTTCCAGTTATACAATTTGTTAAGTAATACTGTATATTGTTTATTATATAGTCTTTTGTTGCATTATTGTGATTTTACACATGGAAATAAGATGTAAAAAACACAGTCAGCATTGTTTGCTCTTACTTGGCCTCTCTTGCATAGATCTGACAGCTGATTGGTCAGAATCTCAGCCTCGTCACACAGCCTCAGCAGCTCCTGCCTCTGCGGGCCAGTGCAGCAGTTGGCTACTTTACGACCCTCGTTAACAACCATACGGGTAGCAGCTTCACCTGGATAAATAAATATTTTTATAATTAATGTCAAATTGGAAAAAATATTTTAAAAAAGAAAAATTATACAAAATGTCTATTCCGTGAATCTGTTAATCTAATAAAAATGTTACCAGCCTAGCCCCATTTCTAACAATGTTTAGTCCACACCATGACAGCCATTTGTCCAAGTCCACCAAACTCCATATCTAACAATCCATTAAGACCACACCCACCTAGCCCCTTGTCATCAAAGCCTGGATTAGCCAGCCACTGCCTGGCCTGCTCCACTTTACCATCCACTGTGGGTGCGGGTTTACGGATACCACTGCGCTCCGTGTTCATGATGCCTTGTGCTGTCTGGTGCTGTAGCTCTCGCAGCTTGTCTTGGATGCCACGGGCCAGCGCCATGGCCTGGGGGCTGCTGCCCTAAAACATGAAAAATGTAAACAGTGTAAAGATTGTACAGCTATACTGGCCTCGCCTGGAATTTGTAGGGACAAAGAGGCAGGCCAAGAAACAGGACTGAGAGTGACATGAGAATGTTGGGTTATTACTGAAGACAGTTCGGTTATCACTAAAGACAGTTGGGTTATCACTAAAAACAGTTGGGTTATCACTGAAGACAGTTGGGTTATCACTGAAGACAGTTGGGTTATCACTGAAGACATTTGGGTTATCACTGAAGACATTTGGGTTATCACTGAAGACAGTTGGGTTATCACTGAAGACAGTTGGGTTATCACTGAAGACATTTGGGTTATCGCTGAAGACAGTTGGGTTATCACTGAAGACATTTGGGTTATCACTGAAGACAGTTGGGTTATCACTGAAGACAGTTGGGTTATCACTGAAGACAGTTGGGTTATCACTGAAGACATTTGAGTTATCACTGAAGACAGTTGGGTTATCACTAGGTTATCACTGAAGACATTTGGGTTATCACTGAAGACAGTTGGGTTATCACTGAAGACATTTGGGTTATCGCTGAAGACATTTGGGTTATCACTGAAGACAGTTGGGTTATCACTGAAGACAGTTGGGTTATCACTGAAGACAGTTGGGTTATCACTGAAGACAGTTGGGTTATCACTGAAGACAGTTGGGTTATCACTGAAGACATTTGGGTTATCGCTGAAGACATTTGGGTTATCACTGAAGACATTTGGGTTATCACTGAAGACAGTTGGGTTATCACTAAAGACAGTTGGGTTATCACTGAAGACAGTTGGGTTATCACTGAAGACATTTGGGTTATCACTGAAGACATTTGGGTTATCACTAAAGATAGTTGGGTTATCACTGAAGACAGTTGGGTTATCACTGAAGACAGTTGGGTTATCACTGAAGACAGTTGGGTTATCACTGAAGACAGTTGGGTTATCACTGAAGACAGTTGGGTTATCACTGAAGACATTTGGGTTATCACTGAAGACAGTTGGGTTATCACTGAAGACATTTGGGTTATCACTGAAGACAGTTGGGTTATCACTGAAGACAGTTGGGTTATCACTGAAGACAGTTGGGTTATCACTGGAGACAGTTGGGTTATCACTGAAGACAGTTGGGTTATCACTGAAGACGGGTTATAACTGAAGACATTTGGGTTATCACTAAAGACAGTTGGGTTATCACTGAAGACAGTTGGGTTATCACTAAAGACAGTTGGGTTATCACTGAAGACAGTTGGGTTATCACTGAAGACAGTTGGGTTATCACTGAAGACATTTGGGTTATCACTGAAGACAGTTGGGTTATCACTGAAGACAGTTGGGTTATCACTGAAGACATTTGGGTTATCGCTGAAGACAGTTGGGTTATCACTGAAGACATTTGGGTTATCACTGAAGACAGTTGGGTTATCACTGAAGACAGTTGGGTTATCACTGAAGACAGTTGGGTTATCACTGAAGACATTTGAGTTATCACTGAAGACAGTTGGGTTATCACTGGGTTATCACTGAAGACATTTGGGTTATCACTGAAGACAGTTGGGTTATCACTGAAGACATTTGGGTTATCGCTGAAGACATTTGGGTTATCACTGAAGACAGTTGGGTTATCACTGAAGACAGTTGGGTTATCACTGAAGACAGTTGGGTTATCACTGAAGACAGTTGGGTTATCACTGAAGACAGTTGGGTTATCACTGAAGACAGTTGGGTTATCACTGAAGACAGTTGGGTTATCACTGAAGACAGTTGGGTTATCACTGAAGACATTTGGGTTATCACTGAAGACAGTTGGGTTATCACTGAAGACAGTTGGGTTATCACTGAAGACAGTTGGGTTATCACTGAAGACATTTGAGTTATCACTGAAGACAGTTGGGTTATCACTGAAGACAGTTGGGTTATCACTGAAGACGGGTTATTACTGAAGACATTTGGGTTATCACTGAAGACAGTTGGGTTATCACTGAAGACAGCTGGGTTATCATTGAAGACAGTTGGGTTATCACTGAAGACAGTTGGGTTATCAATATCACTGAAGACATTTGGGTTATCACTGAAGACAGTTGGGTTATCACTGAAGACATTTAGGTTATCACTGAAGACAGTTATGTTATCAAATAGGACAGTTGGGTTATCACTGAAGACAGTTGGGTTATCACTGAAGACGGGTTATAACTGAAGACATTTGGGTTATCACTAAAGACAGTTGGGTTATCACTGAAGACAGTTGGGTTATCACTGAAGACAGTTGGGTTATCACTGAAGACAGTTGGGTTAACACTGAAGACAGTTGGGTTATCACTGAAGACGGGTTATTACTGAAGACATTTGGGTTATCACTGAAGACAGTTGGGTTATCACTGAAGACAGCTGGGTTATCATTGAAGACAGTTGGGTTATCACTGAAGACAGTTGGGTTATCACTGAAGACATTTGGGTTATCACTGAAGACATTTAGGTTATCACTGAAGACAGTTATGTTATCAAATAGGACAGTTGGGTTATCACTGAAGACAGTTGGGTTATCACTGAAGACAGTTGGGTTATCACTGAAGACAGTTGGGTTATCACTGAAGACATTTGGGTTATCACTGAAGACATTTGGGTTATCACTGAAGACAGTTGGGTTATCACTGAAGACGGGTTATAACTGAAGACATTTGGGTTATCACTAAAGACAGTTGGGTTATCACTGAAGACATTTGGGTTATCACTGAAGACAGTTGGGTTATCACTGAAGACAGTTGGGTTATCACTGAAGACAGCTGGGTTATCATTGAAGACAGTTGGGTTATCACTGAAAACAGTTGGGTTATCACTGAAGACATTTAGGTTATCACTGAAGACAGTTGGGTTATCACTGAAGACAGTTGGGTTATCACTGAAGACAGTTGGGTTATCACTGAAGACAGTTGGGTTATCACTGAAGACAGTTGGGTTATCACTGAAGACATTTGGGTTATCACTGAAGACAGTTGGGTTATCACTGAAGACATTTGGGTTATAACTGAAGACAGTTGGGTTATCACTGAAGACATTTGGGTTATCACTGAAGACAGTTGGGTTATCACTGAAGACAGTTGGGTTATCACTGAAGACAGTTGGGTTATCACTGAAGACAGTTGGGTTATTACTAGAGACATTTGTTTTAGCCATTGTGGTAATGAACAATGATAAATAAAAGCCAAAACACTAAATATTTAGTGCCTAAACATGATAATTATTTTTTAAATGTAAAAACCAATTCATTTATTCACTAATTCACCAATAATTTTAGTTCTGACTATCTTTTTTCCCCATTGATTTGTGGAATGGCAAATTATATAAAATGCTGTTTCATTAACTAAATCATAATCAGCAAAATTCAAAGATGCAGATTTTGTTAACTAAATTTTAACACTCAAATAAATAATAACCAGGCTTGTTTAATTATTTTTATTTTGTTATAATTGTTAATGAAAGGTGTCAGGAATAGGCATATGAATGTAAAGAAAATTTTTAAATCTTCCACAGTATTGCCATACCTTTCCTTGTTGTCTTAACTCAGACAATGCATTGACCATACTCTCCACATCACTGGCACTTCTCAAAATGGCGTCTCTATCCGCCGGATTACTACATCTTTCTGCGACTTTTCTAGAATCGTCAATGATTTGTCTAAGAGCTTTATCTCCTATAACCAAAAAGGAAAAAGGTTTAAGGAATACTGTATAGTATGGGGAAAGCTGGCCATTTTTCAATATGTGAACCTTGAACATTTTTGCTTGCAAAGAAGATTTGAAAATCTGGCCTTTTTTAACCAACATAAACTAGAATATATTGGGCTGACTAACATTGAACTAAAATATTAAGTTTAACCAAATATAAGCATTTAAAAATTAAAATTCTTATACAAAAAGCTGTAGGCATATTTTTTTGGAAATAGTTTAAAATACACAATTTTCAAATGCAAATAAACAGACTGGATACCTGTTGTTGTCTAGTGATACTTCAAAAAATATTATAAAAATCTTTAAAATGAAGTATAGACTTCTTGTTCTTCTTTTTCATTCTTAATAGTGATTATGGTGGAGGATTCAGACAACAAGTCCAACTTCGTGAACAAACCGGACTGTGGTCTCCAGTTTGTCAGGTGCCCCATATAATTTTTCCCTGAGTGGGGTGGGCTGGGGCCAGTGTCTGACTCGTGCCTGGCTATACAAAGTACATTCCTGGAGTACGTGCTCCGTGTTTTCCGGGGCCTTGCCACAAGGGCACATTTCGCTACACCCAACCTTCAGTTTTCTGTGCATGTGTTGATTTAGTCTGTTGTGGCCTGTTCTGAGTCGAAAGATTATGTATTGTTGTTTTCGTGTCAGATTATAATAGCCGTCATCTTTATTGTAGTGAGGGTGTGTGTCAGACCACATTTGCGTTTGTTTGTTTTTTATTATTCTTTTTATTTCTTTTGGGTGTAGCGAAATTTCCGGTTGTGGTTTCTTTCCCCCAATTTTTGCCAGCTGGTCTGCAATCTCGTTTTCCTGGATCTGGCAGTGGCCCGGGATCCACTGCAGCACAATTCTGCTGCAGGTATTAATTAGCCTCTCTAGTGCTGTCATAAGTGTTTGAATAAGTATAGACTAAATACAAAAGTAGAATGAAAGAAAAATCCCACTCACCTAAGCTACCTACTAAAGCTGCTGGATCAAGTAGCCAATCATTAGCTGACTTCATCTTGCCTTCAATAGCATTCTAGGATTTAAAATAGATACAGCTTTAAAAAATAGAAACATACAGCTTTCTAAAATATCACAATATAAATCTTAAATATAATCAAAACCAATAATTTAAATGCACATTAATTATATAAATTTTATTCCCAGAAATGTTAATTCATAGTGAGTTGCAATTCTGGATTCAATTTAATCTATCTGGGATGGTTATATTTTAATATTTCAAGCTTTGGTAATGAGGTCCTAATTATTTTTTTTAAATCTTTGTCAAAACTAAACTACATTACATAATACTTGTAACAATACCATAGCACTATGTTCTAATACTGTTTTTCTGGTTTTGATTTTTCTTTTTTTTTCAACATGCATTAGTGGGTTAGATTTTTTACAATGTAAAACATGACCAATGGAACTATAGCCATACAGTAAACACTACTTATTATCTACTGGCTTAATAAAGTGGAAATTTTGTTGCCTGTGTATTACCTGGGCTTTCTTCATGACAGTTAGATCATCTGCGTCCCACTCGTCTTCATCGTATGTGGTCAGCTGCAGGACACGGATAATTTCATGAATTTCATCAGACATCTTGCGCACGGTGTAGTCCCGATTGTTCTGTGCCTCTTTCACACCCTGACCTGCAAGAAAGAAAAGTGATCTTATTTTATAGAGAGCTCCACCAAATGAAAATGTAAACTACTGATGAGCAGAGTAATAAAAAATTCATAAAAAAACGTTTTAATAACAAGCTTTTATGTAATGATGCACTAAAAAGTAGAAAATAAATTATAGACTACTATTTAAATAACTATAAAGAAAAGCATCCAATTAAGTCAAATTTAGTTTCAGATTGCATTGTCTTCATGTCTTGACCCACGTGCCAACTGTGAATCGTGTCGGTCAAGTAGAACTGTCCGAATTTTCACTCCTGCGTTTCCGTCAAGACAGACTTACGACAGACAGAGGAAGTGAGTTAAATAAAAGCTTGTAAAAACACTGCAAACTGCTTTATGATAAAAAGTATTACAGGATAAAACATAATGCTGACTATTTCGGCATGAAAATAATTGTTTAAACTTATTCAAAGCATCTTTTATTCCAATTTTTACTTTCTCGTATGTACAAAGTATAAAGAAAGTCTTGTCAACGTGCAAAAAAAAAAAAAAAAAAAAAATCAGTGACGTTTTGCATCTCACTGATACGGAAAATCATAATTTTGCCATCTAGTCCGTATGTCTGTGTGTCTTTCTGTGTGTGTGTGTGTCCGTGTGTAAACACGATAACTTGAGTACCGTTACAGCTAGGTTGATAAAAATTCATATATAAGTATTTTATCAAAATCATAGATCCGTATCAACTTTTGAGCGATTTCTGATAACCGGAAGTGGTACTTTTCCTACTTTGAATTTTTCAAAAGCCTATAACTTGAGTACTATTTCAGATAGATAAATGAAATTTCACATGTAAGTAAAAGATCTAATTCTCTACCTTCTGTTAAATTTTGAGTAATTTCCGTTGACTGGAAGTAGTAATTTACGCTACTTCCGATTTCTCAAAAAACTAATGTAAATTTTTAAAGTACTAATAATATTGCGCACTATTATGCACTTTTTTATTTGGCGTTCACTTGGTGTGCAATTAATTTGTCCACTAGATTTTATTCTATTTTTAAAAATTTAAGTATTTAAAATGGATTAAAAATCATGTCTATAGCCCGAGTTCCCATCCCCTGTTATTTTATATAAGAATATTCAAGAAAGTTTAGGGGAGATCACTCCGGGTTTATTTTTTATGAAATTCAAATATATTTATTTATTCATTTCATATTTTTAAGGATAATCATGTAAAAAGTTTTTTTTTAAATTTTACTTCTCATGTTCACATTAATTATATTGTAGGTTGTCAATGCACCAAATCTTTTTTACTTGTACTCCACATAGGTTTAAACTGCAATCAAGCAATCAATTCAATTAAAAGTGTAGCTAAGTATAATTTTATCCCAGGTACGCTTATCATAACTGCTAAAAGAATTACATGACAGCAAACAGTTGTATGGCTATAACTCACCTGACTGGCTGGCGGTGATAAAAATTTTAATGCCGCTGATGAGGACAGGTGTCAGCTGTTTCACCTGCTCCAGGGACCTTATCAACATGTCCCTGTGGACCTGGTGGGTCAGTTCTTTTTCTCTGTTGTCCACCTCCTTGGTCATCTTGGTTAAAACAGGACTCAGATTCTGTGAGGAATAATTTTAAGAGTTAACAGACTGGAAAATAGACACGGGAAAGGGTTTAGATTTACTAACAATAAAATCTTTTATGTATAAGAAATCCCATCGGTACTCATGGCCTAGAACAGGGGTCTCCAAACTACGGCCCGCGGGCCGGATGCGGCCTGCGAAGTCCTCTCATCCAAGGAAAAATCGTTTGTTGGTGATGGCTGAGGAACTTTGCCCAAAAAATCAAAGACATGGCTGGAAGAAACTGGCCCCCGAACTGATATTTGATAGTTAATGCTGCCCTCGGACTGAAAAGTTTGGAGACCCCTGGCCTAGAACAACATTCAGAAGCCTTTTTAGCGTCATATTTCAAGTTTGTTTTTTAAATTATTGATATCCCAGGTATATATATATATATATATATATATATATATATATATATATATATATATATATATATATATATTTAATTCTCTATGTGGGGACCATGCGAGACACCACCAAGTAAGGGCTTAGCCATTCCTACCCCGCTCTCTCTAGGCATATCGCTACCACCCCCACCCCACCAGTCTGGTGAGCTTTAGTTCACGACAAATGTTGTTTACAATAGTAGAGCTGGCTATTAGGGGCAGAAAATTTAGTATTTAAACGATTTGAAACAAAGGGGAGGTAACAATTTCTGCTTAATCTTTTTATTGTCGTCTGTAAACGGCTACTTTCACTGTGGGGGGGGGGGGGTAGTGTCGAATTCACAAATTATGAATTGCTGATAAGCAGAAAAATAAAACAACTAGATAGCGGCTAGATGATACATCGCGGGTCAGCTCATATATTATATTGTATTTTTTCAACACCCCGTTGTTGACTGACCTTGACAAAAGTGACCAGGTCCTCCATCCTGTCCACCACCTCAGTGATCGCCAGGTACTCCAGCACACTTTTACAGACTCGGATGATTTTCCTGACTTCTGATTCGTCAAAGGCCAGCAGCAGGGATGATGTCCCTTGAAGAATACCTGGGGGGAAAAAAGAAAATACAAATGTTGCCTTACATTTTTATAACAGTGAAACATTGTTGGATCGTATCTTGGGAGTGTGTTTTGAGATTGCATCAAAAAAAGACAGTAGCTGTGCGCATGCGTGAGAGGAAGGGAAAGGAAGGCAAGAACATGGTGTAAGTTGGCTGAACACGCTGTCTATGTGAAGACAAAATAAATGTATATAGAACGTGAAAGAAGGCTTGTCTTGTGATTTCGTATGTGATAGATAAAGGTAGGAGAAAGGCCTGTGGCAAGTTTATATCGTGAACCCAGTCACACAAAAAGGCTGTGACAATTTTGCTACTAAGACACAACTTCTGAGGTAACTAACCCTATCTGTTTTATTACTATAAGACACAATCAACTATTAGGGAGAACTATTATTTTTAAATGTAATGATCAACACAATGTAGTAGAGTCAGCCAGTTTACATCAACACTAAAGTAGTTTTGTGGTAAGATTAGGTTTGTAAAAATATAGATGGCAGTTTTATAGAAATGAAGTTCTCAGTCATTTCTACAACAAGAGCAAGGGTCAGGCTGCTTCATAAAAATTAGACATCAAACATTTTTCATGCTCTTAAAATCAGTCAAAGACTTTAAATTTTTATATGCCTGTATGTAACTTTTGAGTTGTATTTTAACGACACTGTGTATGTAGGTTTAGGTTTGTGATTGACTAAACACAACACCTTAGCTAAGAAATAGCAGGACTGTAAGTTTGAGCTAGAATGTGGGTGCTCATTTTGATAGCTGTCATTATAGCTGAGCCTATATGATTTCACTGACGTCTACACCCTAATGGTGCTCTTCAAGTACTGCTAAGTTATACATTAGCTGTTCCTTCCACTTGAGAGGCCAATTTTTCAGACTTTTCAGACTAGTTCTAATGATACACTAGTGCGACTGACAAGCTAATGTAAGTCATTAAATAATTTTTTTCATACTGAAAAGAAAATTTACCTCTAGATCCTTCAATCAGCTTTTTCCTGGCTGGGCCGGAGTAAGGATCAGACCTCAGGAGCTCTGAAGCATCCAGCAGGTACAGAGAGGACTCCTCCACACGCTTGAGGGCAGGAGGCATGTCCTGCTTGAGGATCTGGTCTTCACTGCTGTTGATGGTGTCATAGCCGACCTAGAGCAGAACATGTAGCAGAACATGTAGCAGAACATGTAGCAGAACATGTAACGGAACATGTAGCAGAACATGTAGCAGAACATATAGCAGAACATGTAGCAGAACATGTAGCAGAACATATAGCAGAACATGTAGCAGAACATGTAGCAGAACATGTAGCAGAACATGTGGCAGAACATGTAGCAGAACATGTAGCATAACATGTAGCATAACATGTAGCAGAACATGTAGCAGAACATGTAATGGAACATGTAGCAGAACATGTAGCAGAACATGTAGCAGAATCATTAAGACAGTACATGTTTGATCTAGTCAAGATGAACAAGATTGTATTTCAAGTTTTGAACTGCCTTAATTTCTTTATTAACGAAAAAAAAAATTAAATGTAAGAATGATACAAAAATATTGAAAATTAATTCAATTGAAAAATATAAACAGCATTTTAAAGACTCATGGTTAAATACTAGGTTTAAATAAAGATGCCCCCCCCCCCTCCAACACACACTAACTGTGTGCTTTTCTGGATAAAGAATACAGATAGCCACTGACCCTGACTAAGTTATCCACAGCCAGCTTGACCACCCTGACAGGCTGAGCCAGGTCAGGCATAGCATTTCCATCCTCAGCTTCTTCATGGAGAATCACAAGTCTGGAAACCTGGAGAGAGCGCAAGACAAAAAAATGTAAATACTGGCACTTATAAATGGCAAGTTTATTGAGGTATTTATGCAGTCTCTAATCTTTCTTATATGGAGTGATGTGGTCTGGTGGTAGTGCTAGCCCAATGCTCGAGTTCGGATGCTGGTTTGAGACTGTAGGATGTCCCACACAGCTCTGATGGGTATCTTATATATATTAGGGAAAGTAAAGAAGACTGGTCATAGATCTATCTACAATATCCCTTTACATGATGAAGTAACAGAAGCAGATGGACTCGACATCATTTGCTCTATTGAACAACAGGTCAAATGGTAACTTTATTTAAAACTTTTTACCACAAAATCAGAGAATGAATATATTAACCACCTGTTGCTTCTAAGGATATTTTAATGAGCTTGTGCACCATTAAATTGTGGCATCCTGACTGCTTCATGCAGCCAAAAAAAATTAGCAGTGGGCTTTGCCAAAAAATTGGCCTACAGAATGCTACATATTTTTTTTTCCTTTTGTTCATAAAAAACAAAAAAAAACCCAACATTTTCTATTTTAATTTAATTTAACATTTAGGCATGACTAGTTTAAACTAAATTCCTATTGGAAATTCCTATTCCTAATAAATAAAAACTATTTTTATTATCTCAAATTCAAATTTATTCAAACAACGGTTACAATTGTAGGCACAAAGGCCTTTTTTCACATTGGCCGTTTAAACAAATAAAGCAATTCAATAACACATAGCAGTAACACATAGCACTGAAAACGTGGAATAAAGAAACAATGGTACATAGCTATCATACATAATGAGATAAAAAAGAGAATATAATAGATGAATGAGAAATGTTACAATGAGTCAGTTAGGTCATTAAATAATTTTAGTTTTAGTTTAGATTTGAATATATTTTCAGATCTAGATAGCTTTATTTTATTAGGAAGATTGTTCCACAAATTAGAACCAGAGTAGGCGAAGCTATGTTTTTGGAAAAAGGTTGAATAAGGGAATGGTAAATTAAGACGACGATTTAATTTTATGTTAAAAGAAAATAGATCTGATAAGTAAGAGGGGGCTGTTTCGTGGAATATTTTATATAAGAAAATTGATTTAGTATATATTATCTTTTTATTTAATGGAAGTATTTTAGTAGTAAGAAAAGAATCCAGACTACTAGACAAGCCAGTAACCAGTTTTATAGCCCTTTTTTGTAAAGAAAGAAGAGGACGCTGCTTAGATATAAAGCTGCCGCTCCACACTATAGAAGCATAATCCAACCTGGATTGAATAAAAGCCTCATAAAAAACCAGCCTGCTCCTATAGTTGAGAAAGTTCTTTATCCTTGCTAATTGAAAGGTTGTTTTTAATAAGGACATTCTTAGAAAATGAATATGGTCAGACCAAGTGAGGTTGTGATCTATAAACAATCCTAGGCATTTGTAACTGTCTACCTGTTCAATGTTTGAATTGTCTATAGTAATGTTTAATGCGGTGGATGGAAGACGAAGGCGTTTCTGATGAGTTGTAATAAACATTGACTCCCTTGTGATAGCCAATATGAAGAAGAATTAATATATCATCCCCTGTGATATTTAATAATTCTAAACTAATTTAAATTGTGTCTTTAAAAAAAACTTAACAAGGAAATCCCCTTAACATGTATATAATGCTGGACAGGAAAGTGCCTTGATAGTTTTTACAAGCTAATCAGCCCTATTTAAAATGTCTGTAAGGTGTGGCATTCTAAAATTCTGGGGCATGTAAAATGGGCAGCATTCAGTGATGAACCACCCCTGACATTTCCCTTATCTGGTGAACTTTTCATTGGGAGGCTTAAAATAGTCAAGGGAGTTAACTATATGAAATTTAAATTAAGAAACTCGAGTTATCTTTTCCTTTTAACTAGCTGTTCTAATCATTAGCATTATGACTTTTAGCTATTAATACTATATGTATTTGTTGATAATTAAGGTTAAATTGGATTTCTTCATGATACATATTAGATTGTAAGGTTAGTTTAGTTAAATAAAAGGCAAAGAAATTAATTTTCAATTACTAATTTAAATAAAAAAAGGACAAAGTTGAAAATTCTAACTAATCACAATAAAAAGTATTACATTTAATAATTATATATTTCAGTGATAAATCACAGGGAAATCCATGAGATTGTGAATGGGGGAGAGGGTGTATAAGTAATTGCATTGTCATGGGAACAGTATGGGGTTTTCCAAAAATAGCAGTAGCAAGAGTACAGTGTAAGGTGGGTGTAGAAAGAGGACTGTGTGAGTAAATTGGGCAAAGAGGAGTGTTAATAAATTGAAGCCATGGCAGCTGACAGTCTCCACATGCAGCTTTCTAATTGGACAAGTTAATTAGTTGTTGTTTTTCTGTCCGTGTTTACAATCTGCAGCTTCCTAATATGCTTCATAACAAAATAAAATTGTTTCAATGTTGGAAAATAAAAAATAAATAAAATGGTGGAGCAGCTATTGAGATAATGTATATCTCAACTATCACATCAGCTGCAACCACTGTGAGTCTTGTGTTAACTAGCTGAGTATATTCAAGAAGATTAGAGCATAGTGGCTTTTTATTGATTAATTAACTATTATATTTTATTGATTGTTTGTTGTTTTATCTATAATCCATGTTCAAGTGTATCTCTAATCATATCACTGGATTATGGTTAGGGAATGGTTAATCAATAAGTATTTTATTTATAACAAGTATGGGATTGTTTCAAAAATAAGTAATTTCCCTTGAAACTTTAATGAAGTATTTTTCAATATAGGGTCATCCATAAATGACGTCACGATTTTTTTGCCGATTTTTACCTACCCTCTGTCACACATCGTCACAAAAAGCCAGACCCCCCCCCTAAAATGACGTCACACCTCAGCCTACAACCCCCCCCCCTCTCAAAATTGATGTTGAATTTTTCTTAAAACATCGATATTTTTCCAAAATCTTGTCAGAACTCTGTCAACATAGAGTATTTTGATCAATTCCTATTACAATTTATTAAAACCGTTTTCTAAAACGCGAAACAGCTAAAACTCGTTGTCTAACTGCTTTTTTATAATGCAAAAAAGTGACGTCACACCATCTGAACCCCCCAACCTCTCCCCCTCGTCACACACCGTCACAAACTTACGGACCCCCCCCCCCCCTCCCCCCTACCAGTGCGAAGTCATTTATGGACGACCACATAGAATGTTACTAAAACTGTACAATTTTTATGTAGTTGTTAATGTTAGGCAAATGCCATGGTAATATCATTAAAATAGTCATCCCACTGAGTTGTCTAGCAATGATATCAATGTAGGCTAAGCCTAAGGCCTATAAACTGCTCTGTATAAGAGAGCAGTTTAACTAGTTATGACAGTGACAGTGAAGCTTGATAAATAAGCAGGAACGGTAACTCTGTATCAAGGGAGATAATACAGTGCTGCGTATAGGTAGTTTCCCCATGACTATGATTCAGCAGGTGTGCAGCAGACGTTTATAAAAGGTCGGGTATCAACCTGTCTACTGTGTACCAACAGTTTTTTTTTAAAACAGATGTGTAACGGCTGGTGCTTGTGAATATCCTACTGTGTGTAAAAACTGACAGAAAATTTAAATATACACACGAGGGAGTGAGGTGTGTAAAGAGAATGAGGTCAAGGCAACGACACAGTTCAGTAGCACTGGCTGGATCAGCGTGAACTGTTGGGAATGTGGTGAGTTTGTGAGGGAGGGCTTGGCGATAGCAAGGTGTGTGGGAGAAGGAGTGGTGGTGGGAGGAGGGGGGTTCAGAAGGTGAGTAACTTAATATAGCGACGACTCACGCGCCAAACGATGGAAACAGAGGTTCTAAAAATGTTGCCTGTGTCCATCTGAGATCCCGATTTAATAGTAACGAGCCGACCCGCAGCGTATCATACGCTGCTATTTAGTTGTTTTATTTTCTACTTTTCAGTAATTCATAATTTGTGAATTCGACAGTACCAACGCTGCCACTGAAAATATTTGCTTTAAAACACTACCCCCCCCCCCTTTCCCCTAACCCCGACCCTACACCCCCCCCCCCCCCGTGAAAGCAGCCTCCTCTTAGTTATTTCTTAGTTACCTCCTGTACGTTTAAAATCGAACTAAATTATCTGCCCCGATTTGTAAACATTTAGCTTTGTAAACATTTAGCGTGACCACATCTCACCAGACAATGTGGGGGTGGGGTGGGGGTGGTAGTGATAGTGATAGAGAGAAAGAGAGGGTACTGCAAGGAGGCGCTTGCAGCTTGTTTTCTAACGGCTCCCAGAAGAGAATTATATATATAGATAGATTATAGTAAAGTAAGTAAAGTTCCCTTCAAACCTGACAGTTTACGGGGCAAGAAAAGTAGAGTTCACTTGTTTCTGTGACCTCGGCTTACGGATTAGCAGCTCTCTACCGCTAGGTCACTATGTCCCTCTAAAATGTAATAATGCTTAAGGAAATAGAACATCCTGTTGGTAAAGCAGTCGGTAGATGAAAGGTTAGACTCTAAAAATAAAAGTTCAATATTAATTGCCCTTTGATGTTTAGGGTTAAGGATTGAGTTTCAAGTGTCGTACCGCGAAACTATTATGTGAAAGGGTTTTTGTGAATGGACTATGTTATAATGACACGGAGCCATGCCATACTGTGTTACTAATTTTCAAGTACGTAATCTTTTTAATAAAAAAACAAAAACAAAAAAAACAACAAGAAACTTTCAGACAATAGAGCAGATGAAATCGTGTGGTCAGCACCAATATTCCCCATAAGGAACGAAACTTTTTTCATATTGTGTGTGCGCGGTACTCTGGAGTACTTACACTGGCGTACTTTCGCGCGCCTTAGAGGGAACAGTGGTCAGCGCTATGAACAGCTGCCATTTCCCCATTCTCGAGTATTGTAAAATAGTAAGGAAGTTGTAGGGTAATGAAAAAACTATATTTTAAAAATGTCATACAAGCCTCATTCAATTGTTTGCTATTTATAGACA